CACCTCTGGCCTTCCTTGGTACATAGTTGATGCTGCGAGTTTGGCATAACTGGTCCTCGAAAAACAGATTTCAGAGCTTGCGTCCATATGGGCTAGTTGGCTGAAGTGTCTTCCCAACAGAGGTGGTTTGCAATACAGAACATTTTAAGGCTTTTAAATGTGGCCTTGTACTATTCCTACTGACCACCATGATGTCATATGTCCTGAGACATTTCCCCATAGAAGATCTGCTTAGAGATTCTGTAATCATCCACGCAAGACACATGGCCTGCCCATCTAAGTTGAAGTTTCAGTCTCTATGCTATTGAGACCAACACAATGGAGTTTGTTGTTTGTGATTTGGCCACGGGGTCAAATACTTATGCTGTGCCTCAGGTATCTATGGTGGAAGCATTCTACAGCTTTGCTGCAGAGCCTACAGCAGGCCCTAGATACAGTACCATACAACATGTGGTAAGGACAATAGCTTGGTCATGTTTAATTTTCATCTTCAGTCTAATGCCTTACTGCTTCTAGACATGATCATGGAGTCAGTCATGGGCATAACTTGCTTTCTGGATGTATGTACAGGTACTATCATCATCTGGAGGATTCCCAGAAAGAACATTCTCAAGGTATGTATCAATATAATAGAATATCCTTTATTGTCACATGTACTCCAGCACTGAAGTACAGTGAAAAGATTTTACAATGGCTGCTTTTTAATGGCTCCATCTTAGGTACAAGTACCGAGGCACAAATCTTAGAGTAAAAAAAAGGACTGAAAGGTAAAGATTTACATTACAGTCCGATAAGAGTACCGAACAGCAACAGCTCAGCACGTGGCGCAAGGCCCCAAGTCCAACAATTGTCCAGCATCACACCAGCCTCCAGTCCGCTCCTCACCGACACTCAGCAGCAACAAGGTAAGTTGCGTTTTACTGGGATTCACCACCCTCGCACTACTCTGGGATTTGGGATTCCCCATCCACGGTTCGCTGTCCACGCTGTACCGGCCTGTTCCCCACGCCGTGCTCTGGGGCTCGCAGCCTACACGCT